TCCTCTGCCTTTTCTAAAGCCAGCCTGAATATCTGGAAGTTCTTAGTTCACGTACTGTTGAAGCTTGGCTTGGAGAATTTTATGCATTACTTTGCTAGTGTGTGAGATGAGTGCAATTGTGCAGTAGTCTGAACACTCTTTGGCTTTGCCTTTCTTTGGGATTCAAATGAAAACTGAACTTTTCCAGTCCTGTGGCCACTGCTGAGTTTTCCAAATTTTATGGCATAGTGAATGCAGCACTTTCACAGCATCATCTTTTAGGATTTGAAAAAGCTCAGCTGGAATTCTATCACCTCTTGTGTAGTGATGTAGCTTGTTTGTAGTGATGCTTCCTAAGGCCGACTTGACTTCACAATTCAGGATATCTGGCTCTAAATGAGTGATCACACCATCATCGTTATCTGGGTCATTAAGATCTTTTTTATACAGTTCTTCTGTGTATTCTTGCCACTTCGTCTTAATATCTTCTGCTTCTGTTAGGTCCATACAGTGCCTGTCCTTTATTGTGTCCACCTTTGCATGAAATGTTCCCTTGGTGAATCTAATTTTCTTGAAGAAATTAGAATTTGTCATATATGGCCTTTATTATATTATTTTCCATCAATGCCCATTTTAAAATCATAAACGGCTGCTGAATTTTGTCAACAGCTTTTTCTACATCTATTGAGATGATCATATGGTTTTATTCTTCAGTCTCTTAATGTGGTATATCACACTGATTGATTTGGAGATATTGAAGAATCCTTGCATCCTTGGAATAAATCCCACTTGATCATGGTGTATGATCCTTTTAATGTATGGTTGGATTTGGTTTGCTAGTATTCTGTTGGATATTTTTGCATCTATGTTCATCAGTGATACTGGCCTGTAATTTTCTTTTTATTGTGGCATGTTTGGTTTTGGTATCAGAGTGATGGCCTCAGAGAATGGACTTGGAGTGTTCCTTCTGCGGTTTTCTGGAAGAGTTTTAGAAAGATAGGTGCTTACTCTTCTCTAAATGTATGTGAAGCTATTTGGCTCTGGATTTTAGTTTGTTGGAAGTTTAAAAATCTGTTTCACAGATCACCAGCCCAGGTTGGATGCATGAGACAAGTGCTCAGGGCTGGTGCACTGGGAAGACCCAGAGGGATCGGGTGGAGAGGGAGGTGGGAGGGGGGGGATCGGGATGGGGAACACATGTAAATCCATGGCTGATTCATGTCAATGTATGGCAAAAACCACTACAGTATTGTAAAGTAATTAGCCTCCAACTAATAAAAATAAATGGAAAAAAAAATTAAAAAAAAAAACAAAAAATAAATAAAAATCTGTTTCAATTTCTGTACTTGTGACTGGTCTGCTTATATTTTCTATTTCTTCCTGGTTCAGTCTTGAAAGGTTGTACCTTTCTAAGAATTTGTCCATTTCCTTTAGGCTGTCCATTTTATTGGCATATAAGTTGTCTATGATTCTTTGTATTTCTTATGATTCTTTGTATTTCTGTGGTATCAGTTGTAACTTCTCCTTTTTCAGTTTTAGTTTTATTGATTTGAGCCCTTTCCCTTTCTCTTCTTAATTTTATCTTTTCAAATAACCAACTTTCAGTTTCACTGATCTTTTCTATTGTTTTTATTTCTGCTCTGATCTCTATGATTTTTCTTCTTCTTCTAACTTGGGTTTTATTTGTTCCTTTTTCTCTCATTGTTTTAGGTAAGAGGTTAGGTTGTTTGAGATTTCTTTTGTTTCCTGAGGCAAGATTGAATTACTATAAACTTACGTTAGAACTGCTTTCACTGCATCCTGTAGGTTTTGGATTGTGGTGTTTTTGTTGTCATTTATCTAGAGGTATTTTTTTATTTCCTCTTTGATTTCTTCAGTGATCCATTGGTTGCTTAGTAATATATCATTTAGCTTCCATGTATTCATATTTTTTTAGCAGTTATTTGCCTGTGTTTGATTTTTAATCTCATAACATTGTGATCAGAGAAGATACCTGATTTCAATTTTTTTTTTTTAGCTTTACCAAGGCTTGACTTGTGGCCCAAGATGGGATCTATCCTGGAGAATATTCCACATGTACTTGAAAAGAAAGTGCATTCTGCTGCTTTCAGATGGCATGTCCTATAAATATCAATTAAGTCTAATGTGTTATTTAAGGCCTGTGTTTCCTTACTGATTTTCTGTCTGGATGACCTGTCTATTGATGAGAATAGGGTGTTAAAGTCCTCTAGTATTATTGTGTTACTGTCAGTTTCCCCTTATATGCTATTATGTATATTGAGTTACTCTTATGTTGGGTATACATGTATTTACAATTGTTATATCTTCTTGGATTGATCCCTTGATCATTATGTAGTGTCTTTCCTTGTCTCTTGTGATGATAGTCTTTATTTTAAAGTCTATTTTATGTGATATGAGTATTACTATCTTACCTTTCTTTTTGATTTCCATTTGCATGAAAGACCTTTGTCCATTCTCACTTCCAGTCTCTGTGTTCCTAGATCTGAAGTGCATCTCTTACAGACAGCATATGTATGGATATTGTTTTTGTATCCATTCAGCCAGTTTATGTCTTTTGGTGGAAGCATTTAATCCATTTACATTTAAGGTAATTATTACTATTTTTAATTTTTGGCTGCACCCTGAAGCATGTGGACCTTAGTTCCCCAACTGGGGATCAAACCTATGTCCCCTGCACTGGAAGGTGGAGCCTTAACTGCTGGACTGCTGGGGAAGTCCCTAAGGTAATATGTATGTTCTTATTTTCAATTTTTTAATAGTTTTGGATTTGTTTTTGTAGGTCTTTTTTCTTCCTTCCCCTTTTGTTCACTCCTCTTATGATTTGATGACTATCTTTAGTGTTGTGTTTGGATTGCTTTTTCTTTTTGTGTGTATCTATTGTAGAGTTTTGGTTTGCAGTCTCCATGAAGTTTTGATATAGCAGTCTACATACAAATACAAGATTGTTTTAACTTGCTTGTCCCTTAATTTCTAGTGCATGTCCAATATCCTGCATTGTAGCCCTCTCTTCTATAGTTGCTGGTTTTGATATATGTGTGTGTGGATGATTTCCTACCTTTACCATATGTTTGCCTTTACTAGTGAGGTTTCCCGTTCATAATTTTCTTTTCTAGTTGCCTTTTCTCTTCTGCCTAGAGATTCCTTTAAGATTTGCTGTAAAGCTCATTTGATGGTGCCAAATTCTCTTAGTTTTTGCTTGTCTGTGAAGTTTTTGATTTCTCTATCAAATCTAAGTGAGAACATTGCTGGATCCCTTCTGATGTGCAGTTTCTGCTGAAAAATCAGCTGATACCTTACGGGGGTTCCCTTAAGTGTTAATTGTTGCTTTTCCCTTGATGCTTTTAATATTTTCTCTGTAATTTCTGTTGGTTTGGTTACCGTGTGTCTCAGCATGTTTCTCCTTGGGTTTATCTTGTACAGGACTCCCTGTACTTCCTGGGCTTGAGCGAATGTCTCCTGTCTCATGTTAGGCTAGTCCTGCATGCCCTTATCAATGCTGCCCTGTCTTTGGTCATCCTTCCCAGGAGGCTCCCAAGCCCCCTTTCTCAGCTGAAGCCCTCTCTGCAGCCTCTCATGCCGACTGGGCGTCTGTTCTGGTGCTGAGATGACAATTCCAACTACTCCATCTGCTCCCTTTTCCCGCTTGCCCCACTGTCCAAACCAGGAACCCAGGAGTCGTCTTAACCCCGCCCTCCCTCCACATACACCCTCTGGTACCATTCACCTGCCTTGTCCAATCTCTTGAGGCCTGTGGATTCTTCTTCTTAATTCTCTCTATCGTCTCTACCTTCTACCACCCCAGGTCAGGCTACCGTCTGTTCTGGGTTATTTCAGCAGCCTCTCCAGATGGTCCTGCAAGGTGGCCTCACCTCATCCTCCAGCGAGAGCACCAAGCGCTGCCCGTCCGTGTGCCCTTGCTCACGCTGCTCTTCCTTGCCTCTTCCTCTAGCTAACTCCTACCCATCCTTCAGGTTTCCAATCAGCTCTTCCCAGACCACCAAGCCAGATTTAGGTCCCCTTGCTACGTGTTTCCTATCAAAGCACTTATCATTTGATACGGTCAGTTCCTATTTAATGTGTGTGTCGCTTTGTTGGGCATGTCTGTGTGCTTCATTATTTTAGCCCCTGAAGCTAGGACAGTAACCACAGATGTTCGCAAACTTCTGGATGAATAAAAGATTTTCAAATCTGTAAAATTCAAACCCAAACTGAATGATGCCAGCCTGAAATTAATTTAGAAACAAAAACCTTGAGCCCAGCTTCCAAAAGGTTTGGTCAAGAAAAGGCACCTCAGCATGATGAGGAATAGCTGAGATTAGAGAGGCACCGTTCATGTAAACACGTCCTGATTTCACGCTGCTTAGGTTTATGCACAGAAAGCCACTTCCCAAATTCTTAAGCTGATTCCCATTGAATCTGTCTAGAGTCCTGCATAATCGACAAAATGTGGTTCAAGTATTAACTAAAGTCCAGTGTCTCAAAGAAAGGTAAGGAGTCTCCTCGTCTGTCCGTAAGTCCTTATACACAAAAAATATTCTAATGGGTCTTAACATTTTATAGTTGGAAAGGAGTTTGAAGCTCATTAAGCCAACATGTTACAGGTGAATATGAAGCTCAACACCGTCATTTTACAGGTGAGAAAACTGGGGCTCAGGGAGGCAAGGAAGCTGACTCAGGGTCACACCTGGCCCGTCAGCCACAAAGTGGGGTTAGGACCCAGGTGCTGAGCTGTACCTGTTAGTTTGGATCACGATGATGGCTGTGTTTTCAAGATCATGCTGATGGAAAATGTTTCACCCACACTTCAAACTAATAACCACCTCATTGTTCAACAGGGCAGCTAACCTGAGGGAGAGAACTGGAGGAGAGTGTTCCTCAGGTCAACGACGAGCTTCCTACCATAGCTGAGGGGAAACAGGCATCACAGGGAGGAGGAGAAGACAGAACTAAGAGGTGCTGGGCCCATGCCGAGGACCACGGTGGAGACGCCAGGCACTTACCTTTTCTTTGTCACTTGCTTCCCTGGCCACTGTAGAGCCCTGAAACAGAGATGATGAAAATAAGCACGTGTGAGGCACCGGCTTCACGTGAAGCGCGCAAACGTCCCGGGGCAGAGCTCCGAGACAGCCGAGCACCGACTGTGCCCTGTGCCCTCCCCGAGTGAGTGTGCGCAGCGCCTCTGTAGGGGCCTCTGTCTCCAACCCTTTGTCACCTGTGCCGTCTTTTCCCTGGTTCCTGTCCTCCTGGTGGGAATCAGAAAACCCGCCAGTCACGTGAACAATGCCTTTCTAAACGCAGGGTCGGACCACACTCTCCTCCTCACGTCACTGGAGATGGTTGGTTTGAGGGCCTTCAAAGTACAGTGGCCATCACTTGGCTGCAGTGACCACCGGGCACCGAGGGCCTATCTCTCATACTGCGTCCTGCAGGTGGGGCCCCCTGGCCCCTGACAGCCCGTCTCCCTGGCTCGGGGTTCCTGACGAACTGACCTCCTCACTCACCCTAAGACCCAGTGGGGACTTTCTGGCCACTTTCACGATGGAGGCCCCTTCAAACACACATCTACTCGCACCCCTTTTGTGCCTCTAGGGTGAGCACAAAAGGTACAAGGAGAGGAAAACGCAGCTTTGGTTGCAGCGGTTCTACTCTGCTGCGCCGGTTTTCAAATAATGCCCCTGGTTCTGTGTTGTGACAGACGACCAAGTCTGTCTGAGATGCTCATGGAGCGGCAGGGCTTTAGGGTAGAGTTCACAGAGACTGTCCTCTGTGAAAGATCTTAATGCAAAAGAAAGATTAGGAAACGCATGACCAGTAAGGTCCTAACTTTGATAATAACAAACAACAGTGAGCATCCCTTCCCCGTGCTCCTTGGTGGCCGTCGCAGTGTCACACAGCAGTGCCCGTGTTTGCTGAGTAAACGGCTGGGGAAGGGTCACGGCCCAGCAGCGGACACCCAAACTATGACAGAGGTCAGTGGCGCGAGCTGCTTGTCTGTTAAATACACATTTATTGGCCTGGAATACTTGCATTAGCCAGTCATTCAGAGAATGTGTATGTGACTTGGGAAATGTTAAAGTAGCTTCTAGATTGGCCACTCTTAACGTTTTTACTCTATGACCATCTTGCCTTCAAGCAGCTCAGGCACTAGTTAGGATGTGCGTCACCTGTCATTCACAGATGGAGAGACTCCTCATACGGGGGAAAGGGGCCAGGCCTGAGCCCGGGGCTCCCCGGTGCCAGTTCATCATCATCCCCACGCTCAGTGTTCCCAGGTCTGGTGAACTAAAAGACCCTGCTGGGTCAGCCCAGGACGATGCTTGAAGCATCTTGGGGACATGCTGGAGAAGCACAAAGCTGACCCAGCAAGTGAGGATGAACCCTGTGAGGTGTCCCTCTGGCCAGCCGAGCCCAGCAGCTGTCGCTGGCAATGGTTTGTTGTCCTTCCTTTATGGGGTCTTGATTTCCGGCCACAATATCTTCCTTTACACACTGACTGCTAATAAAGAATGTTCCCTTATTTTAAAAGAAGGGAGGGGTGAATACTCGAGTATTAAATACTTAAAATACCTGGCTACTGCGTTTGTAATACCTGAGCAGTTCCTATGCTAATGGGCAAAGGGAGGGAATTATTTTTGTATCTTTAACCAAGTTTTTAGTCTCTGGGTATTTTTTCCCTCCTTACAATATAATTTACTCTGCTTCTGATTCTCAGTGATGCCTCATCTCTATGTAAATGCAGATCATTAGCCTGGAAAAACTCATCCAGATTTAAATTCATTCAGGATTAAAAAAAAACAAAATTACAGAAGTCAGTCAAAGTCACGAGTTTGAGCCATGAAATGATGCCAGGTGCCCAGGTTCCCTTACAATGGCAAGCACTGGTGAGAACAGAGTTTATTCTATAAGCTAAAGAGGGAGATGAAATCAGGACATCCAAGGTTAAATTAAAACCATAATATCCAGTCTGTAATTTATATCAAGGTATGCTTCCTATATGTCTGCTTGAATGAGGCACTATTTGAAGCACTTCAGGGGATAAAGTGGGACCAGAAACAATCGTCTTTAAGAAACTTACTAATAGAATGGATGAGAACGAAAATTCATCCACCTCTTCTTGTATGCATTATGCTGGACGTGACACAAACATATTAATCCTCTCAACAACCCAGCAAGGGAGGTAAAACCATCTCTATTCTACAGATGAAGGAACTGTGGCCCCTACAGGTTCAGCATCTCGCACACAGCTAACACATAGTAAGACTGGGACATGGGGCTCCTGACGTGGGAGAGTCAGACCAACAGACAGACCTCTAATATACTCAACAGGACGAGCTAGTAACACTTTAAAGGGCCTTGTGAGAGAGATGGTTCCAAAGAGACCTCCAGGGTTGCTGGGATTTCCAGGGAACAAAACAGCTACGACTTGGAGGTAAGAGATGAGCCTGGAACATCTCCCCTCCCTTAGAGCAACATTTCGCAAAGCATAGTTCAGCACCCAGGGGTGCTGCAAAGTCAAAAGTATCTTTATAATAATGCGGAGACAGTCTCTGCCTTGACATTTACACGGATACTGCAAAAACAACCGTGGGGAAAACTGTTGGCAGCTTACACAGATCCAGCAGTGGCACCAAATGGTATTAGTAGAGATATCATACGATATACGAACATCCTTGAGGAAGCAATGGCATCTGTTTTGTTAAATCCTGACCCTGGATGACGTACCTTCTCAATATTCTGTGTAGGAAGTATGCCCAAAGCTCTTTTGTTTATAAAGTAGGTATGTTTAAGGACAGTTATCTTGGTGATGGTTTTGAGTTATGAGCTGAACTAGCCACTTTTTTCCAGAAATCATTTCTCCATGAAAAGACAACTGGAACCTGTTTATTCCATTCTGGGTATCTGACAGGCACTTGCTCAAAGAGGAACAAAGCTGCTGGCTCAGCTCTGTGCTGTCATTTCACAGGAAACCCACTGATAAAATTTAAGCTTTCAAGTGAAAATGAAAACTTTAAAAAACTTGTATCCACCACCCTGAGCTTGACAGCTTCTTAATATAGAAAGGCTTTTCTAATGAGGCAGGTGGTGATATTTATGTGGCTTCCTGATACTGTTTAATGAAATGTGCTAGTATTTGGAAGAACTCGTAACTTGGTTAACCCATTGTTCAAAATGACGGAAGCATGATGTATTCAGATCAATGCATGCAGACAGACTGATGGGTTTTAAAAAGTTCACTGATGAGATTTCAGATTCCACACTGTAACTCAGCTTTGAGAAATTACCACTTGTCAGGCCTACGTGTGCCATCAAAGAAAAATACCCACAAATTTCTGAAAAAGTTATTTTAAAAACCCCTTCCTTCTTCCAACTACATATTTGTGTAAGGTCTGATTTTTTTCATACTCTTCAAGTAACATGCAATAGATGGACAGCAGAAGCAGACGGGACGTTTCTGCTCTCTCACCAAGGCAGACATCACAGAGGTTTGCAAAGATGTGAAACAATGCCACCTGTCCCACTAAACATTTTGATTTGAAAGATACTTTTCATAAAGATATGCTAACATTAATAGTTTTACTATTTTAAAAAAACTAAGTTTAAAATGTTTTCTCATTTCTAACATTAAGTATTAGTGTTAACCTACATATGCAGCTTTTGGAGGTCCTCTTTTAAGAGTGTGAAGGCGTCTGAGATAAAAAAATTTGAGACTGACTGATGAAGACCAGAGGTTGGCAGACTTTCTCTGGAAAGGGTCAGAGGGTAAGTGTTTTGCACTTTGCGGTTCAAAATGGTCTCTATGGTAACTACTCAACTCTGCTATTATAGTGCAACCACACATGATACAGAAACCACAGGCATAGTGGGACTCCAATAAAGCTATTAACAAAAATGGCCAAGTTGAACTTGCCATGCGGGCAGGTCATAGTATGCCAGCCTCTGACCCGAACATTGTCTACATCAGTGACCTCAGAAGTCAGAGCCCCTCACTCCACAATCAGAATTTCCAGTGGTCTACCTCCCTCTCCAAATCTTTGAAACAACCTGTCCCTCACCTCCTGACACCCTATTCCAAACTGCATCCTTTCCCCATCCTTCCTGTCTTTTCTTCTGTCCATGGCACGGATCAGTTCCTAGCACACCATGTGACTTACTTATCTGTCTTTGCCCACCAGAATGTCAGCTCGTTGAGGGCAGGTTTGGTCTGTTTTGTTCTTCACACTGTTCCCAGCACTTAAAAGCAGGGCATGGCACATAGCTGGTGTTCAATACATACTAGCTCAATAAATTAGATGTGGTATCTCTCATAGGTACAATAAGAAAGAAAGAAAGAAAGAAAATGAAGTTGCTCAATTGTGTCCAATTCTTTACAATCCCATCTACTATAGCCTACCAGGTTCCTCCGTCTGGGGGATTTTCCTGGCAAGAGTACTGGAGTGGATTGCCATTTCCTTCTCCAGGGGATCTTCCCAACTCAGGGACCAAACCCAGGTCTCCCACATCACAGGTGAATGCTTTACTGTCTAAGCCACCAGATCCTCACTTAACATGAAGTGCACTGCTGGCTGCCTAGTGCTTTGAGCTCTGGGTGCCTCTTAAGTGCTCAGCCTGATCAGTTACACACAACATGGATGAACAAGCTTAATGAACAAAAAGATAAAAATCTTACCTTTAAGTCATATTTCCTATATACAGATAAACGGTGGCTGAACACATTTCTTGTAACAATCACATATATTTCAACTCCATCCACATTAAGCCGGTACATGCCCAGGAACTGGGGAAGAAGGGTGATCCCATGACATTCCACTATATACTGCATAAGAAAGAAAGAAAAAAAGGGGGGAAATGATCCAGTCAAAAGCTGTTTGTTCAGATATAAAATAACTCCTCTGCCTATGGTGTTTTACAAAGTGATAGTGGTATATACAACCATTAATGTCTTATTTACAGAAAATGACCATGTTTATACACCTGAAGACCAGGTCTGAGTGCACCATGCAGACAGATGAGAAAATCTATCTCCAGAGACACTTTTTTCTTAACTTTCCCAACTAATTTGTATATAATGGCATGAGGAGAGAGGACAAGTGACTAGTCCTTTCTATAACTTCTTTAAAGTGAAATCATGACCTGGGTTCTCCATCTTCCTTCCTAGAAGCCTTGATGATGACTTTACGAGGTTCAGGCAGCATCACCTAGCCACTATGATCAACGCCTTTGATAGTGTTAAAGTCGAGACTACAGAGGAAATTGTGGCGAGCGCTCAGTGTTAGAAGCTGGGAGAGTCAGACTCTTGGTTTTCTGTTTCTTATTGAGACTCTAATGTTTAAATTGCTACCAGATAGTCTCCCAGAGCAATAGAAATAAAAACAAATGGGAGCTAATTAAACTTACATGCTTTTTGCACAGCCAAGGAAACCATAAACAAAATGAAAACACAACCTATGGAATGGGAGAAAATACTTGCAAATGATGCGATTGACTAGGGCTTAATTTCTAAAATATACAAATAGCACATACAACTCAACAAAATAAACCCAATCGAAAAAAACAGAACACATAAGTAGACATTTCTCCAAAGAAAACACAGATGGCCACCAGGTACATGAAAAGATGCTCAAATCACAAACTATTGTATGTGTGTATATGCCCAGTCATTTCTGACTCTGCAACCCCATGGATTGTAGCCCACCAGGCTCCTCTCTGTCCATGGGATTTCATCCAGGCAAGAATACTGGAGTAGGTTGCCATTTCCTCCTCCGGGGGATCTTCCCAACCCAGGAACTGATCACACGTATCCTGCATTGGCAGACAGATTCTTTACCATTGACCCCCCCTCTCCCCCCGGAGGCCCTTCATCCTAAAGTATAAAGACATTAAAAAACAACCCATCACATACTTTAAATATATGGGAAAATAGAAGGACAAATTTAGAACTCTGACCTCGGAAATAATACATCCAGGTTCAGCTCTGCAAACGAGTCTTTCATAAGTGAAGATCAACTAGAATATAACTGACTTTCACAGGTTTTTAAAATTGTTTTTCAGTATAGTACTAATCTGACATCACTGCCATTTTTGCTAGTAAACATTAATTATTAGAGAAATGCAAATCAAAATGACACTGAGGTGCCACCTCATGCTGGTCAGAATGGCCATTACATTAAAAAATCTACAAATAACAAATGGTAGAGAGGCTGTGGAGAAAAGGAAATGCACCTACACTGTTGGTGGGAATGTAAGTTGGTAAAGTTACTGTGGAAAACAGTATGGAAGTTCCTCAGAAAACTAAAACTAGAATTAGCACATGATCCAGCAGTCCCACTACGTATTGCATGTATATCCAAAGACAAAACTATATAATTCATTAAGATACATGCACCCCTGTGTTCACAGCAGCACTATTCACAATAGCCAAGGCATGGAAACAAAGTATATGTCTCTCAACAGATAAATGGATGAAGATAATGTGGTACGAATATACAGTGGAATATTTACTCAGTCATAAAAAAGAATGAAATAATGCCACGTGCAGCAACATGGATGGACCTAGAGGTTTTCACACTAAGCAAAGTCAGTCAGAAGGAGAAAGACATATTCTACATGATATTACCTCTATGTGGAATGTGAAATACAATACAAATCATCTACAAAACAGCAGACTTGTGGTTGCTGAGTGGGGGGATGGATAGAAGAAGGTAAGAGTGGTAGTTTGGGATTACTAAATGCAAACTATCACATATAAGATGGACAAACAACAAGGTCCTGCTGTATAGCACAGGGAACTATATTTGATATTCTGTGACAAACTATAATGGAAAAGAATGTGAAAATATATATATATATATATATATATATGGGCTTCCCTGGTGGCCCAGTGGTAAAGAATCCACCTGCCAATCAGGAGACACAGGAAGCTCAGTTTCAAGATTTTACGTGTGTGTGTGTGTGTGTGTGTGTGTGTGTGTGTATACACACACACATATATATTCATATGTATCAGTGAATCACTTTGCTATACAGAAAAAGTTAATACATTGTAAATCAACTTTACGTCAATAAAATTTAAAAAATAATTTATGAAAAAAAATAATACTTTTTTGGATATGTTAAAATGATTACTTTGTAGATTCACAAGTGACATTGAATAAAAAATTCATGTCAGTGAAAGAAATAATAAATTGCCCACCAAAGCAGTGGTGTGAAGCTCCACAGACAGATGGACACACTCTGGCCCCACATTGGATTCATCACTGGACAAGTCGGTCCCAGCACTGACACCATTTCCGAGAGTTGCAAAAACACAACATGTGTCTATCCCTCTTCAGTGACCATACTCTAAACGGCCACCAGATGGAGACACTTTTCAAAAGACCATCCTTACAAACTGGGTCCCACTGTACTTTCTAAAGTTAGGTTTCCCTTTCTTTAAAATGAGGGGGAAAGAAGATTCTAAAAAGTTTCTTTGATGCCTGTGACGTGTGTGAAATGGCCAGAATAACTTAGCATCAATTGTACCTACTTGTAAAAATTGTACTTACTGTGCCTGTTTACAGACAGATGGCTGGCAGAATAGTCACCATGGTAATGGTGACATTTAAGGTAACTCCTTCTTCATTTAAAAAAAAAGTCCTCAAATTTTTCAGTTGTACAATGCACTTTTATAAAAGTAAGAAAGTAATCAGAATGCCCTGTCACACACTTTAGTGGTAGACACTGCAATAATCAACTCTGATAATAAGAAGCCATCTTAAGACTTTTTTTGAAAGCCTTTAATTTTTATCATTAAAGAAAAGAAGTACAGCATCAGTGGAGGAGTTTGATTTTTCCCACTCAAAGTTTGGAAGATTTTAAAGATGCTTCTGCCCTTAAAAAAAAAACTTACCATAATTGAGCTACATATTTCAATACAATGGCTTTTTCTGAGTAGAGTTTCACCCCCAACTTGTTCCTAATCTGAAGTCAGATGAGAGGAAATTTTTCTATTTCTCGCCTTTCAAAAAACAATAAACTTGAGTTTTGCTAATACAAAACAGGTGGTAAAGAGCTCTTGGCTGAAAGGAAGATTTCTCACGTCTGATGTAAAGACATAAAAGGAGTGGTTGTCTGGTGCCTCTGAAGAGGGCTGGCTGGCTGGGCCTCGGCCGCATGGAGGCGGACGGAGTCTAGCCGCATAAGTTCAGCAGGAAGGATGGAGGTTCTGGAGCCAGAGAGACGACATGCAGGGGCATCCCGGTGCCTCCACTTACCAGCAGTGGGATACTGGGCAGCTCACTAAACCATCCTATGCTTCAATGTCCTTTTCTAGAAAACAAGCACCGTAATTCCTACCAAGAAGGTTAGGGTGGGGATTACAGGGAGCAGGGTGTCAGCACACTTCACACAACGCCTGTGCTCCGTGCTGCTCTTTCTCCTGCCCGAGGACGGTGATCGCGGTTGCTCTTCACATGCAGAACTCTGGTAAGCAATCTCAATGTCAGCCCGTCTGCTCTGTGCTCCAAACTGACTCACAGACGTGATCTGAGCTCTACCCAGAGGGAGCCTCTGCAGAGGTGATCTGAGGGCCCAAGCGAACTTGCCCCCTGCCCTGGGGGGCACACAGGCTTCAGTCTGGCTATTCAACTCCCTCCCCCTGCGCCCCACGCCTTGTGCTGTTCTGCTCAGTTTAGGGTCATCATGGCCTATCTTTTAAAAATCCTGCTGGCAGAACACATCTCTTTGATCCAAATCTCTGTACAGAGCCACAGAATGCCCGGATCAGTGTAGATACCACTGTCTGTACTGATGAATGTGAAAGGCACCTGACTTCTACATGGGAAATCACTGGTACGCTTCCCCCCCGCCCCCCAGGGAGAAACACACGTGCATGTTATATTCTGCAACTCCTCTATCTTTAAGATTAAATAAAACATATTTAAAACATAGATCAAATTTGATTCACCTTATCAGCAAGTTTCTACATGTTCTTATACTCAAAAGCAAGGCTCACCTATAAGGCTTTGTTGAAGCCTTTGTTGAACACCCTGCAACACAGAGATTTAAAAAACTTAAAACTCCTGAGTTTATAATCATGTACAAAACCACAACCCCAGAAAGCCTATCATGTTAGATTCCAGTATTGACAAGCAGCAGTTGGTCCCAAAGGTTTAGAAAGCACTCCCGCACCAAACTGCAGGAGCGAAAACCTCCCCCATGAATTGAATTTCTGGGTGGGAGCCCTGGGAAAAGACGACCCTGTTTCATTTCAGTGGAGGACGTCCCACTGGGTCTGTGAGCACCTGGGCTGGCCGACCACCGAAGTGGAGCGTGAGGGTCACTGGGCGTGGGAGTTGACGCAGGGAGGCCCAGATAGTAATCCCCTTGCGTTCTCCACCTGCTGACCCACTAAGTGCTGTTCACACACCCTAACACCAGTGGGCACGTCTCAGCGGGCTCCCCCACCCCACCAACTCCTGGAGGTTATCCCACATCTAGGGAGACTGCAAACACAGGGCCACAATCACACTGCTTGAGCCTTCCTGGGCCAGCACCATGAGCACTAGCTGTGTGACCTTTGGGAATTAGTCAACCTCTCTGTGTGTCTGCATTTGGAGAAGAGGCGCAATAACAGTCCTTAGAGCTCAGGGGCTTTGTGAAGGGTGTGAAGATCGGGGAAACGGCGCTGGGGGGACAGCGATGACTCAAGCAGGAGCCAAATGAAATCAAGACCCTGGGGTGAGGGATGGGAGAGGCAGGCAGGAAGGAAAGGGTGAGGGAGGCAGGCTTCACCTGACGTGCTCCTCAAATGCTCCCTGAGAAGTGGGTTCTATTTAA